ATTTCTAGAGGGAAATAAAGTCTGGAGTGAAGAATTCATGAACGCAGTGCAAGCGACATATATTTTGATCTCAGTGCGCTGGTCTATAAATCCAATATACCGTGATAGTCTTGGTAGAGATTCCACCATTCCGTGGTAAAACGCTGCTGACCAAAATTGTGTTATTACAAATACTTCTCTGTAACGGGGCAATTTATCCAGTTTATCTTTGATAGTCGTGATAAAATGCTTTTTGGAAGCTTGAATCGCCTCGGGTCTGGCGAGACAACTATATGGTATAACTTGCAGGTCGCCGACAAAAACTACACCATCATTCGAGATGATTCCATTTTGTATTAAATGAATGAAACTAGATACTGTCCCCAATTGGAATACTTCCTTTGTAAGTTTATAATTTAGTGGTAATTTGAATCGCAGTTTGGGCTCAGGTCTCTGTGCAGAAAAGGTCTTCTCTATATTTGTAGTACAGGAGTTGGAATATCTTATATTGCCTTTATAATTGGCAAGTGCCGTACACAATGATTTGCTTCCTATCCATTGAAATACATCATGTCCATCTTTGTCAGAATCCATTATTTGAAAAAGCAACGTTTTGATATTGTACTCTGTGGCAATGTGGATGAAATAATCATCTCGACTTGAAGTAACGTCTTTGAATTTGCCAGATTGGGGCATTGAAAAACGAGCCTCTAGAATCCCCTTCGATCTGTGTTCATCCAAATGCTGTTCTATCGTAACACGGCTATCGGAAATTGCAACGAAATGTGGATGGATGTCACCGTAGTGCCTTGAACTCTTGTATGCCGGTTTGGGAGGCTCGTTTTGTGTCGTTTCTAACATGATGAGGCTGAACACTGTTATTACTGCTAGGAAAATGATAGACAGCATGATTTTCCTTAGATGCTTCATTCTCAATCCAAATATACATAAAGACACTTTGCTATTGTAATCATACACTGGCGTTAAACATATCTTAAACACCATGCCCAGTAACATAAAACTCAAGGCACATGTTTCTATATGGTGTTTTATTAAATCCTTTATATAACTCCTCTGTTATATTTTTTTCTAGCACGCCTGATATCGATGTGAATTTAATTATACCGATGATTCAATAAACAGGCTATACATATTAAGCGTATGTTGATCAGTGAGCGAGTAAATATACTCCTCAACAAGGCACAGACGTGAACAATATCGTACCTAAAACACAGCATTGTGGTCTCAGTTCTAGAACTTATCACTGTGTAACATATGTAAAAATTTGAACGGTTTGGCTGGAAACCTGTAGACAAGCCTCGATAGACAATATTTTAGGACGGAAAATCTAAAATGGCAGCCTTAACATTTACCCAGAATGCCCAAAAACGAATCAGTTCTAAACTTTAATACATAGAAAGATCCCTGAAAATTTCAGATGAATCCCTCAAATGGTTTGGCTGAAAATCTGTAGACAAGTCTTGAAAGTGAAGATTTTAGGACGGAAAATCCAAAATGGCCACCTTAAAATTTACTCACAATGGCCAAAAACTAATCAGTTCTTGACATTGATACGTAGAAACATCCCTGAAAATTTCAGATGAATCCCTCAAATGGTTTGGCTTGAAACCTGTAGATCTAGACAAGTCTTGAAAGTGCAGATTTTAGAACGGAAAATCCAAAATGGCTAACTTAAAATTTACTCACAATGGCCAAAAACTAATCAGTTCTTAACATTGATACGTAGAAACATCCCTGAAAATTTCAGATGAATCCCTCAAATGGTTTGGCTGGAAACCTGTAGACAAGTCTTGAAAGTGAAGATTTTAGGACGGAAAATCCAAAATGACCACCTTAAAAATTACCCAGAATGCTTAAAAACCAATCAGTTCTTGACGTTGATATGTAAAAACATCTCTGAAAATTTCAAATGAATCCCTCAAAAGGTTTGGCTGGAAACCTGTAGACAAGTCTTGAAAGTGAAGATTTTAGGACGGAAATCCAAAATGGCCACCTTAACATTTACCCAGAATGCCCAAAAACTAATCAATTCTTGACGTTGATATGTAGAAACATTCCTGAAAATTTCAGATGAATCCCTCAAATGGTTTGGCTGGAAACCTGTAGACAAGTCTTGAGAGTGAAGATTTTAGGACGGTAAATCCAAAATGGCCACCTTAAAATTTACCTAGAATGCCCAAAAACTAATCAGTTCTTGACGTTGATATGTAGAAATATCCCTAAAAATTTCAGATGAATCCCTCAAATGGTTTGGCTGAAAATCTGTAGACAAGTCTTGAAAGTGAAGATTTTAGGACGGAAAATCCAAAATGGCCACCTTAAAATTTACTCACAATGGCCAAAAACTAATCAGTTATTGACATTGATACGTAGAAACATCACGGAAAATTTCAGATGAATCCCTCAAATGGTTTGGCTTGAAACCTGTAGACAAGTCTTGAAAGTGCAGATTTTAGGACGGAAAATCCAAAATGGCTAACTTAAAATTTACTCACAATGGCCAAAAACTAATCAGTTCTTGACATTGATACGTAGAAACATCCCTGAAAATTTCAGATGAATCCCTCAAATGGTTTGGCTGGAAACCTGTAGACAAGTCTTGAAAGTGAAGATTTTAGGACGGAAAATCCAAAATGACCACCTTAAAATTTACCCAAAAAGCTTAAAAACCAATCAGTTCTTGACGTTGATATGTAAGAACATCCCTGAAAATTTCAGATGAATCCCTCAAAAGGTTTGGCTGGAAACCTGTAGACAAGTCTTAAAAGTGAAGATTTTAGGACGGAAATCCAAAATGGCCACCTTAACATTTACCCAGAATGCCCAAAAACTCATCAATTCTTGACGTTGATATGTAGAAACATTCCTGAAAATTTCAGATGAATCCCTCAAATGGTTTGGCTGAAAACCTGTAGACAAGTCTTGAGAGTGAAGATTTTAGGACGGAAAATCCAAAATGGCCACCTTTAAAATTTACCTAGAATGCCCAAAAACTAATCAGTTCTTGACGTTGATATGTAGAAATATCCCTGAAAATTTCAGATGAATCCCTCAAATGGTTTGGCTGGAAACCTGTAGACAAGCTGAAAAGCCGCCGCCCGCCCGCCCGCCGCCCGTCAAGCTGACTACAATATCGTACCTCTTGTTCAGGTACGATAAAAAGCTAAGGACCAGTCTTTTTCTTCGTTTACATGTTAAACCCCATGTCTGTTTGAAGAAAAGCTGATAATGTAAATGGATATGCACCTTAACTCTATTCTCTATATCTTTTCAATTCTATATAATTTTCAATTCAATATCTCCGTTACAATATGTCAAAAAATGATGTCAAATTGAGAAAAATAAAAAAAATAGTAGAACCCATGTAATCCAATGGGAAATAGTTGGGTTGCCAAAAGTCATATGAGAAAATATCTATCAATTCAGTTGCTCTCAAAATGGAATGTAAATGGACAATTAAATTTGCTAACTTGTCTACAACAAAAAATTAATTTGTTTCTCCAGGTTTTACAAAGTTATTATGAGTCTCAAAAGTCCAAATCATTTCTCATAAAACCTCTCATTGAAATAACACAGGGGGTCAACATGAGTTGTCAAAAATCGTTGATGCTCTATATCCGTAATTCTCACAAAACAACCTTGACAAAAAGCATGCACAAAGTAAAACAATTCAATTGTCTACTCAGAAATTATTTTGATAAATCTTTTACCGAATACATATCCAAAAATCTGATTTGCCCCTAGCTCACCATTTCCCATTGGTTAACATGGGTTCTGCAATTTTTTTTTAAATCCTCAACTTTGATATCAATTTTTGACTGAAATAGATCGATTGAACATTTCCTGAAATATAGAGAATAGAGTCAAGTTACATATCCATTTACATTATCAGTTTTTCTTTCATTCGGGCTTAGAAAATAAAGTTCAAAGATACATGAGGTTTAAGATGTAAACCTATGAGGAAAAACTTAGTTTGAGGAGTATATATAGAACCAACTTATGAAAAACTTTATGAAACATAGAAATGGTGTAGTTTTCAAGAAAGGATAGGCATCGATATGGTGAACTGAATTCAACAATGTTTTTCTCTTAAACCAATTATTGAAAACATTTTGTAAAAACACGGTCCTTTCTGTAAGGTTCACTGATTGACAACAATTTAATGCGAAATTTATTTACATCTTTTATATAACTGTTTTTGTTAATATTTTTTGTTTTCTATTGCAATTGGTTTTTTGTTCATTTCTACCAATTCTTTAGAATAAAATAAAATGTCTTTCCTAACCGTGTTGGAACAAAATAGCATTTCTAGTATATATATTTTTTTCAAATCATATTACTACCAATCAAAAGATCAAACCATTAAATTGACGATGTTTGAAATTTTAAGAATTTTTGGATGAATGGTTTAAGAGAAACGTGTGTTCAAAAGTTCACCATATCGATACCACTCCTTTCTAAAATAAAAAATCCAAGTTTCCACCATCCTAATTTAGTAACTAAACCCCCGATCACCTCGAATTTTGCACCAAACGTGGTATTCTTTACTACGGGGTGTTAAAAAAACGGAATCAAAATTAATTGCTAAAGTTTGGAAAATACTAAACTTGTGTGTTCATTTGTGTGTTCTTGTGTGTTCATTTTTCAGAAAAGAAGAGACCCTAAAACTCCTGTAGTTTGTACGTTGAAAGACATGATGCCTTGGACACCTGCTCCAAAGACATTTGTACTTCAAAACGCTGTTAATAGTGCCTCACTATCTGTTAATAATGTAGCTTCAGCTGATTAAACAGCATCTATCCAATGCTCTATTGAATAGTATGATATAAAGGATGACAACGTGTCACCATTTGTTAATAGTGTAGCTTCAGCTAGCTGATTAAACAGCATCTTTCCAATGATCTATTGAATAGTATGATATAAATGATGACAGCGTGTCTTTATCTGTTAATAATGTAGCTTCAGCTCTAGCTATAACTGATTAAACAGCATCTATCCAATGCTCTATTGAATAGTATGATATAAATGATGACAGCGTGTCTTTATCTGATAATAGTGTAGCTTCAGCTAGCTGATTAAACAGCATCTATCCAATGATCTATTGAATAGTATGATATAAATGATGACAGCGTGTCACTATCTGTTAATAGTGTAGCTTCAGCTGATTAAACAGCATCTATCCAATGCTCTATTGAATAGTATGATATAAATGATGACAGAGTGTCTTTATCTGTTAATAGTGTAGCTTCAGCTGATTAAACAGCATCTATCCAATGCTCTATTGAATAGTATGATATAAATGATGACAACGTGTCACTATATGTTAATAGTGTAGCTTCAGCTGATTAAACAGCATCTATCCAATGCTCTATTGAATAGTATGATATAAATGATGACAACGTGTCACTATCTGTTAATAGTGTAGCTTCAGCTGATTAAACAGCATCTTTCCAATGCTCTATTGAATAGTATGATATAGATGGTGACAGCGTGTCTTTATCTGTTAATAGTGTAGCTTCAGCTGATTAAACAGCATCTATCCAATGCTCTATTGAATAGTATGATATAAATGATGACAGCGTGTCTTTATCTGTTAATAGTGTAGCTTCAGCTGATTAAACAGCATCTATCCAATGCTCTATTGAATTGTATGATATAAATGATGACAGCGTGTCTTTATCTGTTAATAGTGTAGCTTTAGCTGATTAAACAGCATCTATCCAATGCTCTATTGAATAGTATGATATAAATGATGACAGCGTGTCACTTTCTGTTAATAGTGTAGCTTCAGCTGATTAAACAGCATCTATCCAATGCTCTATTGAATAGTATGATATAAATGATGACAACGTGTCACAACGTGATTAAACAGCATCTATCTAATGCTCTATTGAATAGTATGATATAAAGGATGACAACGTGTCACCATTTGTTAATAGTGTAGCTTCAGCTAGCTGATTAAACAGCATCTATCCAATGATCTATTGAATAGTATGATATAAATGATGACAGCGTGTCACTATCTGTTAATAGTGTAGCTTCAGCTGAT